TTGCAAATGTATTGACTGAATAAAGATTAGTCGTAAAAATTTGCACTCGCATCCATAACGCTAAAATGCCTGTACAGTGTCATATCTGCTGGGAAAATGAGTATCGTGCAACCGTGTATCAGAAATCCTCATAAACATAAGCTCCTTTTTCGATTTAAAACAATAATGCCGTGTCACAAGAGAAGCACAATAAAACTGATCTTTCAAAAGTGTTAATCACCTAAGAGCGTTAGATCTACTCGATTTCTTTTTTCATTATTGCCCATGTCAGACATACATTTTCAGTAATTTACGATTTGTAATTTCTTGTCAACCATAACTGTACTCACATCGAACAGTCACCATGGCGGCATCGGAGGTAGCTTTTCCAACATTGTTGCTCGCCACACATCGGTAGGCTCCGTTGTCTGTTCTGCTTACATTCGTTATAGTCAGCTGTTCGTTGTCTCCTGACAGACGGATCCTCGTGTCCTCACTGGGAATTACACCAGATCCATTTTTTGTCCAAGATATCGTCAAAGAGCTTCCAGAAGCGTTGCAAAATAAGGTCAAGTTTCCTCCCTCGTTGACTGGATCAGCTTGTGGGTTCGTCTCGATTAAAGGCATCACTGTAATAGTGCAAAAACCTCGTTAATAGATGTTTATGACTTAATGCGTACCCCTACCCTAAGCAAAAGTTGGGGTTTACGTTTATGCAAGCGATCTACAAATGATATTTCTCCTAGAATGGAAATTCTCTTGTTAAAAATGATAACGACTTTCTTTTTGAACAGGATAATTTCCAAATAATTACTGAAGTGACTTTTTTGACTTATGTGTGTGTGTATTTTGTTAGCTTTTTTTTAAAAAGCATCGCCTAGTCAAACATAGTACCGAGACAGCTAAAAAGCTAGGTATGCCATGACGTCTCAGAGGAACAAAAAAATATAGGTCCTTCAATGTACGCTATTTGTGGCCACAAGCTTTATTAGAGATCTTATCTTGGATCACCAAATACTTCCTTGGCCTACATATGGAAATTATTTTACTTAACATTTACGGCCAAGGAAAAACATACGAAGCACATGTTCAAGTCCCTAAACATCGCAACATACCTTGGATGACAATCGAAGTCCTATTCGAGGAGCTTCCAACATTATTTGTTACATTGCAGGTATAATTTCCAGAATCTCCCAAGGAAACTGCGGTGATCAGCAGCTGAGCTTGGTTTTCATTAGAATGTGAAATATCTACTCGTGACCTATTTGAGGGCGCAGTGAGGTTTGATGCGATCACATTCCCATCTTTTACCCACTGCACTTCTGACACGGGAGGCAAGGCGTTAAAGCGGCATGTCATCCGTAAATCAGTGCCATTAGCTACATACCGTATTTTATCTCCATCTATTGTCACTTCTGGTGCAACTAAAATTCAATGAAATGTTCTAAAGATTTTTTCCTTCAAAACATATTGTTACACTTAGAGCTCAAAACGGAAAAATAGCACCTTTCGCAAGAACTTCAATCAAAAGAAGTGAGAAGGAGGAAAAGGAAAGTTGAGGGTAAATTTGAGGTTGCAAAAAACAGCCATATTTCTTTCAATGCTCAGCATATATCTTTATACAAGTCGGCACTGAATCGCATCACAAGCCCAGATGTCAACTCATTTTGGTTAAATTCAAAGTCCTTTCCAAAATACGACTAAAAGGCTTAGCAACCAAGGAAAAAAACACAATTAAGTGTTTTGGAGATAAACTGCTTCTAAACTCACAATGCACGGTAAGAGATGCAGGAATTGAGATGGAGATACCCAAACTGTTATTGGCGACACATCTGTACTGTCCTGTATGTGAATTTTGAACATCTGTGATCGACAAACTGTGATTTCTGTCCTCTAAAGAAACACTAAATCCTTTATCTACTGCTAGGTCCAGTTTGTCTTCATCCTTAGGCTTTGCAAAAACCTATATCTACAACTTTGTGGTCAACAACGAAAACCACAATTAAACATTACGTACTCAAATACTTCGGAGATAGACTACTTTTAAACTTACATTGCACGCTAAGAGTTGCTGAAGTTGAAGTGGAGGTACCCAAACTATTATTAGCGACACATCTGTATTGTCCTGTATCTGACTGTTGAACATTTGCTATCGACAAACTGTGTTCTCCGTCCTTTGAAGAGAAATTTGAACGAAAATCTACTGCTATGTCTAATTTGTCTCCATCCTTTGTCCAAGCAACATCAGGTTTAGGGTATCCTGCTACTACGCAACTGAACACAACAGTTTGTCCTTCCACTTTCGTGGTATTACTTGGCGGTTGAGAGATTTCTGGCCCAACTTGTATAAAAAAAAAAGAGGAGAGAGACAAAATAAAAATAAAAAAAAAACAACAAATATAAAGAAATGAATGAATAAATCATGATACGAATAGATAAGAATTATAAGTCACTGCAACATCAAACGTATTTTATGAAATATCGCAGCACTTGTCACTTTCCTCCTTCATGACCGTGCCGCTGCCAGTTTAAGTAAAAGCTGAGTGACCAGGTCAAATCAACTTTATTCTTTAATAGTGAAAACATCAACGCCTGTATCAATACGTATGCAATCATCTACCATAGTAATAGAATTGTCCTAAACTAAACAAAAACAAATAGATTCCGCCTTTGCTTATTAATTAAGTATCGTTACGTTTCGATAAATAGCAATTAATCGTTGTCATTTACTCAGGTTTCGATCTAAGTTGCAGAAATGTTGACGAATAAAAGTCGAATTAACATAAACAAAATTCGAACCCATTACGCCAAAATATCATAGCAGTGCTGGAAAATACTGAGCGTCATGAAAACTGAGAGTCAAAAACCCTCATAGTGATCAGCTCCTGTTCGATTTGATGGAATTATGCTGTGTCACAACGTAAGATTAAATGTACACACAAACCCTTAAGTCACTTCTCAGGTCAGAGAGGTATTTTCAGTAAATGGACATCTTGCAACAACTCGTAAGTCAAAACTATACTCACATTGAACAGTTAGAATGGCGGCATTGGAGGTAGCATTTCCAACATCGTTGCTCACGACACACTGGTATGCTCCATTGTCTGTCCTGCTCACATTCGTTATTGTCAGCTGCTCGTTGTCTGCTAGCAAAAGGATCCTTGAATCCTCGCTGGAATTTATATTAGATCCATTTTTTGTCCATGATGTTGTTAGAGAGCTTCCAGAACCGTTGCAAAATAGTGTCAAGTTTTCTCCTTCTTTGATCCGACTAGCCTGTGGGTTCGTCTCGATCGAAGGCGTCACTGTTTTAAGTAAAAGGAACCCTTTCATAGATGTGATACCGAGTTTATCGATTCTATGACAGTTTAGTGTTTCACAAATTTCCCTCATGCAGGTTATTCAGTTTTATAATGCAACTCCTACTCTTTTCCTGCGAAAGTTACGGTCCAAGCATGTAATCTGAAAATGATATATTTTCTGGAATGAACTGGGGTAAACCTGGTATTTTGGTTTTTGTTATTTTTGTTTTGTTTTGCCTTATTTGTTGTTGCTGTCTTTTATTTTTATCTGAAACCGTTCCCGAATAACACTGAAATAACTTTTTCAACTTAAGTGAAATAGTTTCTGCACCTGTGAAAAAAAGTTGGCCTTGAAGTCTTAGAGAAACACGCCCATGAAGGTCTTTCATTGTACGTCAGTTGTGGCCATACGGTTTATATAAAATCTTATCTTGGACCTTGAAATAGTTCCATGACATTTACATCGAACTTTCGTTTCATGGTCTTTGGTGGCCGAGAAAGGAGTAGGTGAGAAAGAAACACAACAGAAATGGATTTCTTACACTGTTTTAAACACCAGATTAAAGATGTAGTGTTATCTAATTCTTTTTATCAGCAAAGTTTACAGCGAGCTTCTTGAGAGATTTGTTTCCCTTAGAGAAGACTAAAGCCGGAATGAGAGAAATAATGCTGTACAGCTGTTTCACTTCACGTAGTGTACATGTAAATCTTGTACATACCTTGAATAACGATTGAAGTAGAATCCGTTGTACTATTTAATTCATTTGTAACATTACAGGTGTAGGTTCCAGAATCATTTGAGGAAGCTGAGGCGATTGAGAGCTGTGATAGACTGCCATGATGATGGGTTATAGTTACTCTTGATCCATTGTTGGTTGCAGTAGAATTTATGGCAATCACCTTTCCATCTTTTATCCATTGCACTTCAGACACAGGAGGTGAAGAGTTATATCGACAGATCAACGTGAAATTCTCGCCTTTGGCCCTAAACTGCTCTTGGTCGCCATCAATTGTAACTTCAGGCTCAACTGAAATTTAATTTAAACTCTTCTTAGGTCAAAGTAACAATCGCCTAAGCCGTCGTTCGTTTGAGAGAATGAAGCTTGCGAGGGAGAGAGACTACCGTAATTTGAAATCAGATATTCAAAGTTTCACTTCATTATTCCTTTCCCAGAGTGATCAAGAGCCCAACGGTTGGAAAGAGGAAAAATCACTTTCAATTTCCAGTGGATGAAGAAGCACAAATCTCGTGTTCCCATCGACTCTTCTTATTATCTTTCGATTCTTAACCCTGCTACACTTCGGTAAATACTTGTTTAAAGTCAAGAATATCAACTAAAGATGGAAGGTTATAACTATAGTCTCAAGCCAAGCCAGGCAGGAAAACAGAAACTTCAAGACTGCTAACAAATATTTAATTAATGATTTGTCACGTTTTGTCTATACTTACATTTAACAGACACAACCGCAATATTAGATGTATCGTCTCCATACTTGTTTCTCGCCACACATTTGTATTCGCCTTTCTGTTTCCTGCTCACGTTCGTTATAATCAAACTTTTATTGTAAACTGAAAAACTGATCCTTGAATCTCCCAAAGTAGTTACATCAGATCCGTTGAATTGCCAAGTTATTGGTAGAGAGCTCCCAGAAGAGTTACAAAATAACGTCACATTTTCTCCCTCCTTGACGGTAACAGCTTCTGGCTGTAATTTGGCAGAAGGCTTCTCTGTAAGAGAGCAGAAATATTTATTCAGCTTTTCAGTATCCCTACGTACACTGTGATGTACAAGTTTACTCTAAGTCTTCATTCTAGCCTTTCTAAAGTGTGGTTAGTTAAACTTTCCCATGATCGAGAATTTTTTTAAATATCTTGCTTCATCGAGTAAGGAATGGTTGCTGCCTAGGAATTAATATGAAGAATTAAGTCATTTTTTGAATACGTAAAAGCAAGCAACGTTTATTTGAATGAGCAAGTAGTTGATGCTCAAGTTAAAGTCTGTATTCTCTTGAGGTGAAATGAATCTCTCACACGGCTTTACAAACCAGATTATAGGCCAGAAGTTTAAAAGCAACCTGTTTCTGTTTTATACTTTTTATTTTTGCTTTGTTTTGTTTTATTTTGTTTTGTCTTGTTTTTTTTTTTTCGATAAATTCGTTTAGTTGTGCTCACACTGAACTTCTAATTTTGGCTTGTTTCTGCAAGAGAAGATCTCAACGAACAAAAAAGTTTACCAGGAATGAGAGAAATGATGCTGTGAATATGTTGTACAGCAAATAATGAGCATCGTTTACATACCTTGAACATCAATCATTGTCGAAGCTACCGTACTGTTTACTTCATTCGTAACATTGCATGTGTAAGTTCCAGAACTCCTGTGAGGAAGCTGAGGCGATTGAGAGCTGCGATGAACTGTTATCATAATAGGTTATAGTCAGTCTTGATCCATTGTTGGTCACATTAGAATTTATGGCAATCACCTCTCCATCTTTTATCCACTGCACGTTAGACACAGGCGTAGAAGTGTTATATCGACAGACCAACGCGACATTCTCGCCTTTAGCTATAAACTGCTCTTGATCACCATCAATTGCAACTTCAGGCTTCACTGAAATTTAATTCAAATTCTTTTAAGGTCAAAGTAACATTCTCTTCAGCCATCGTTCTTTTGAGAGAAGGAACACCTGCGACGGAGGCTACGGTAATACGAAATCAAATATTCAAAATGTCACGTTATTATTCCTTTCCCAAGATCAGATCAAGACCCGGAAGGATTGGAGAGCTAGAAAAAAGCGCTCTGAATACTGATCGGGATAAGGAAACGCAAATTTCATATTCTTATAATTATTAGAAACCTTATTATTTGATTTTATCAACTGAGTTGATAATGCAAATCGACTACCGTAAAAAATGCTGACGTTTTGTGCGTTCACATTCGTCATAGTGAAAGACGAAAGGCTGAACCATCTTATCTAGCAATATTACAGGTCAGAGAGGTATTTAAGTCTTGTCCCTTAAGTATTTGATAAAAAGCGGCAAGAATCTGCCATATTTGCATTTAAGAAAAATGATACGCGTTGTTATTTTAACCATGCACAACATGGCAGACTTGATGATCAAACACTCGTCCTAAGGGGATATTGACCGATACCAAGCGCATTTTGGTAAAGTGCAGGGAACGGGCAGTGAGTTAAAAAAAAATGCGACTACAGCAATGGAGAGCGGTAAAAAAGTGGTATAAAATTTTTCCAATCTCGCATTCAATTTCTCAATAAAGACAATAAACAATTTTCCTCAGGTGCACGAAAAGTGATATATAGAAGGTGGCAAGAAGTTCCTTTTTTTAAGGCTGTTTGGCGTAATCGTCGTATTAAACCTCTCTATTTTAATGTCCTTCTGTCTCCTTTCCTCATTTTTGAAATCAGTTTTGAGTTAACATATGTCAGTGTCGTTCCCTTACATACACACGGGAAGTTTACGCCGAAAAAAATTTGCAGTATTTCCTTTACGCTTGATTGCCCTTGCCTTTTCTCCTTAAATGTCTAAGAAAACATTATCTTCACTGAGTGTTTTACACTTCCTTGATTAATACTCTTAGCTCAGTTCAATATTTCCTTAACTTCCATCATCTAAACGGTTGTTTGAAGACGTGTTGATATCGTAAGGAGAAGGTACAGTTTGATCATCTCTGACAGTGAAATGATCTGGAAAGTTTACCGAATTTTGCTCAGCGAAGTTCATCAGAAATCTTTGAATACATTCAAATAAAAACCACAGAGCATTAAAGTAAGAAAGAACTATAAAAATTGTTGTTAGGGTATCAATTATAAGATTGTGAAGGATAAAAGGGGGGTATTTTTTATAGGGTAAGCTACTTTGTAGTATCTATATCTGATATACTGGTGTGCTAGTCGTGTAGGTCGCAATTGTGTCTAAATTATTTTGCTTTAGATCTCATTTAACAGATTTGTAAATTACCCTCAGGTCATGTCAAACATAACAACAACTTTCGATTGTTGATCAAATCCAAATCGAAACCCAACAGGCTTTCACGACATTCTCAAGTTTTAGCAACATCTTAAGGAAAATTGTTTCCACAAGTTGCTCCAGAATGGGTCAAGACTACAAAACCAGTGTTTCCACGAGAAAAAAAAAAAAGCAAATTAGCCACGCATGCCTTACGACATGTCTCGAAAGTGCGTTGCGTTTAAAACGACGCAAGGAATTGTTTTTAATGTTTCTCCTAATTTTCCCAAAGTGCGTTTAGCTTCACAAATATATTATAGGAAGTTCTATTTGATAATCTAATCAAGGGTCCTTGTATAGTTTTAAGCAGAAAAATCCAGCCTTTGCGTGAAATAATCAACTAACTGAATCATTCGCAAGAGTTGAAACTCAAACATTCCTTGAGGTCATTCAATCGTGAACCCTAAAGCTCGATTTACACCAAACATTAAAATATGTCTGATTAGACTTATTAACAGACCTTAATTTGTATTTTTTTATGTCACGTTTCTTAAGATTTAAGATCGAAGATATCACACTAACATAATTCCAATGACGTTTTTGTTGTAATTCTAATTTTTGTGGAAACCAAAAGCTGAGATCAGTGCTGTTAGAAGTACTGACTGTTCGATTTTGTTTACCTCAGTTTTTAAGAGCAAGTTATCATCTTTCTTCTTGTGAAGGGCAAATTGAATAGATAAAAATTGCAAACGAAACTTGATTCACAAGTCTTTACATCAAACAAATTCATTGAATCGATAACAAGTATAAGCTCATATAGCACCCGGAAGCTTGGTCATAAAATCAAGGAAACATGTTAGTTGAAATTGATATCGATCGAAAATGAGCAAGTAATATGAACTTTAAGATATTTCGATTAACAGAATTCCCTGGACAGGCGGAAAATCCTAATATGTAGGTATCACGTCTATCTTACACCTACGTATGTATATTACTACAACATGGATGAGTCAATATCACTGATTAAGCTGCAGTATGGTTTGCTCAACTGGATTTTACTCTTATGTACTAACCTTGACTTGTAAGAGGTACAGCAATTAAGAGAATAAAAGCTATTCTAACAACCATTTCATCACCGAACTCTCTCGCGTTTCTTCCGTTTAAGTGCACAGTCTTAAATAATTGAGTCAGTCAAACGTATGAGCCAAATTTAAATGCAATGGAATGCAAATTTATAAAACAACCAGTCAGAGGCAAACTGACAGACATCACGAGTCAATCACACCGAAGAAAAGAGATCTTTTGGGTCGAGACCCACCATCAATATTTAGAAACTCCGAATATGAAAGAGTTTTAAAAGTCGCTTGACTGCCCTGATTTTGGAAATTTGAACGGCAAGATCTACAAGATAGATGAAGGTGTCTGATTACAGACATTCAAGAAGTTTTATGTCCTGAGGTCGCAGATTCCAAGTAGAATCATTTATCTTTATATCATGTAACCAAACGGACACGTTCGTCTTGAGTTAGTATGGTGACATTTTTCATTCGAAACTGTAAAAGGTGAACGTGAACAGTGGTTCGCAGTTATCTTTATATGTACCTAGTGAATAAGTTTCTTCAAGACCAGAAAAATCTAGGAACAAAACAAAAAAAACAAACAAGACATTCCCATGTTACTTTCGTGACAACAGGAGCTTTGCGGTCTGCGGTCAGTGGTTGTATTTAATAATTACTCGCCGAAGGCGAGGTGAATATCGTCGAATAATCCCCGAAACGAAGTCGAGGGGATTATTCGACAATATTCACCGAATCTGAGGCGAATGATTGTTTTAGTATAACAGAGAAATTTCAAAAACCATAACATTTTAGTAACATTTATTAACATTTTATTTTAACATTTTATATGTACCGTGTGGAGCGGTTTATATAGCTTCATATAAGGAACCACTCGACCAATCAGATTGCTGGAAACTCTTTGCTCAGCTCTGAAATTATACTAAAATCGGATATGATCAATTTGAAAAATTTTCAAGATGAGGTAACAGTGAAAATTAACGATTTATCATAAATTTCGGGCAGCGGTCCCAATGTTTTATAAGCTCAGCGAATTCCGAAAACTGCAAGCTCGTGGACAACTTACACGTTAGCAAACTACATTAAAGACAACACTAAGCACATCTTTTTAAGTATCGGCAGTAATCTCAAAGCCTGCAGCCCAACTAAGTAATCGTCAGTTGCCTGACGATTGCTTCGCAAGAGGCATGAAACTCAGAGTTGCAGTAAAAGTTCAAGTAACCTAATTCTTGAGGTATAATATATAATATATATATATAATATAATATATATAATATAATATATATATATATATAATATATATATATAAGGCAAAATAGGCGAAATAGGCAACGTGGGATCCAGAACAGTGCTCGACAATGAAGGAGCGATTACAGTAGCAAATGGACTACTCAAGTTACGCACATATGGATTTTAATACAGCCTGTTTCTTAGACCAACAAAAGTTGATCCACTCATCAGTAAAACTCCATACACACTGAGGCATCGTGACGGTTAACTCTAACTCAGCAANGAAGGGAGTATAAGGGAGGAGGAGCTAAAGAAAATGACTGCCAATTAACTGTTAATGAGAAGGATCATGAGACTATCACAGAGTGCTACGGAGGGGGGGAGGGATAAGTATCGTGACACAACCAAATCCTACCCCCATAGCCTACTGACGAAAATAAAATGACATATGTGTACCCCTGTGCATTTGATATACTCTCCGTTCTGTGAAATGTCACGTGACAATCCAAAATCTGCTACCTTGGCGACCAGTCCTTTACCAATCAAAATGTTTCGAGCGGCCAGGTCTCTGTGAACACACTAACGTAATAGCAAAATGACGTTAGTGTGTTAGTGAAAGTGTAACTCAGGTGGCAACATAATACTTTGTGCTACTCCCCAAAATATTTCATTTCAAAAATGATTTGATTTTTTTTAATCTGACATGAATGTCTCCTTATCTTTTAGACTGATTATCATCACATTTTCTCACCAGAATTTATACACGATGGACGAAGAGCTTCCTTCTCGCATAGTGTTCATCAGAGAGCGATGATGTCCTGAGCATTGCCGATTTGTAATTACAAAAAGGACGGTCCAGTCCTGTCTGTAATCGTACGAGTGATAAACAAAATCGGACGACTGCGAAACGGGAGTCCGATTTTGTTGATTACGAGTAGGATTATAGACCGAATTTGATGAGAGGAAGTCTTATTAGCAATTAATCAAAACTATGACAAAAGTTGAAGGAAGAACGAGCTATCGGTTAAATGTTTCATTGAAAATAACAACAACAACAGTTAACTCGGCGAAATGCCCGGAAACAACGCAAGAACACGACGCTTACACTGTTATATTACACTGTCCAATTATAAGCATGACGCTTACCTGGTGCTGAAATCAGGTTGGTGACAACCACTCATGTTCGAGAATTATTTTAAAAACAATATGAAATGATTATCATTAATTTTCCGAAATGCAAAATGGTTTTAAATATAATTATTGAACAATCCACTTTCAAGATTCATAAAATACAAAGAACGCACACTATATTTAAGGTGGGCAAGTCAAAAAAAAACAAGCGTACATCCAAAACTAACCAGCTTGCTTTCAAGGTGTTGCATTCCATTTGCGACATCTTTGGCGATTCTTAGCAAATCTCTCTCGGACAGTCTAGACCAAAGGTTTGCATAATTTGCATCCTCTGTGCGAGCAGGAATACGGCTCTCAAGCAATATCCGATCCAGACTTCCATCTGGTACGAACTCAATAATCACACATAGGGGTTCTAGAAGACAAAAGTATGTGACATGAAACAGTGATGGGAGAGCTTAAGAGTTGTCAATTCCCGCGGTGGTTGTTGAAAACATACCTCAAAATAGGATACAATTCGATTAGGTGTTGAAAGTGACACTGGATTCCTTTGGTTTTGTTATACTTCGGTCTCTGATCGGTTTAGAAAACTAAACTAACGAGACTCCAGACAAAAACCAATTGTGATTTGGTTTGCCCGGATTTTCCCCGCTCTTTTGGGAATTGCCTGCTTTTACTTTGAGTCCTGATTAGCTGATGATGACAAAAACTTTTGCTTTGATTGGCTGATTTTATTATTCTGGTTCTGGGTTTGCGACAGTCAATTAGAAACTGCTGTACAACCTGAAAGTGTATATTTTAAGAGAGAGAAGAGTTTGCAATGGAAAGTTACTGTTGGTTACATTTGAAAAATTTCACTTTCAGCTTATGCAAAAATGTTGAATATTTCACCAAAAGACTACCAGGTTTTTCATACGCTGATTTTTTTTTTCTTGCTAAAAAATCATTCATTCCTGCTAAGTAACAGAAAGAAATTAATTCTTATGCTCTATCAATTATTTTCTTATAACTTACAGCAGATCTCTTGTACCACATAATTTTCCTGCCAAATTGGACGCTTTGTTGACATAAGAAACGACTTCCTTGGCTAAAGAGAAACAAACCAATAATCTCCTGATTACAAAGCTTTATCTACTTTGATGTACCTTCAAATGAGCATGCTCCAACTAAGTTCACAATATTTTTGTGGCGTCCTACTTTCTTAAGCATCTCTAACTCCTGGATTAGAACCATGCGCTGTTTTTGGTCATTGGTATCTAGAAATAAAGGCAGAAACTATTACACAAAGGTAAATTCGATTTTTGAATAGGAAGGTAAAATGCGAAGAGCGAAAAAGGTTGGGCAAATCGGAACAATTTCAAAGTGCTCACAAAACTGAAATTTTCTCACTTGTCTTGGCCACCTTAACAACACTATTACGAATGATTTGAAGGACAGATTAGGGGAGATCTAGGTAATAATGTAACTTTATTATGGAAGGCTTCTCTAGCCATATGGGCACGGCTGTCCAAAGGGTGGATAACGCTATCAAGTTGGTAAATTGCTATCCAGTGGATAATGGTTAACAAAACTTACTGCGCTGTGCAAAGTACTGAGATTTGTCTAGTGGATAGCGTGACACCTTTAGAACAACCAGATCCAAATGAATTCATAAATTGAAACAGCGTTTGACTGTATCTAACCTTTTAACATTTTAACAGCGACGGGTAATTTGTTCCCATCTCCTCTCAAATAGTTTCCCTTCTTGACGACTCCGAAATCTCCTCCACCAAGTTTCGTTTCTAAAATTTCCAGTCTTTCTCGAGGAATTTCCCAGTTTCTGTCAATTTCCATTTGATCTAGATATGTGTCATTGTCAACAGCCACAACCTCTTCTACCCCTGAGTTTGGCACTTCTGCTGGCGCCTCTATAAGGATCTGCTGACTATGATCTCTCGGCTGGTTCATGATGTCCGGTGTAATTTCCGGTATGGAAACATTATGGTCGTTGTTTCTCTCCTATAAAGAAACAAAAAGAAGCAGTTTGAAGCCCAAAGGTTGACAAACTTACCTCCTAGATATGTCTAGATATGTCTCATTGTCAACAACCACAACCTCTTCTGCCCCTGAGTTTGGCACTTCTGCTGGCGCCTCTATAGGGATCTGCTGGCTAGGATCTCTCGGCTGGTTCATGATGTCCGGTGTAATTTCGGGCATGGAAACATAATGCTCGTTGTTTCTCTCCTATAAAGAAACAAAAAGAAGCAGTTTGAAGCCCAAAGGTTGATGCTGCCATATTCTGAATGAAATGAAAGCATGAAAAGCCTACGTTAAATCTGGTTAACCTGTGACCAGTGACACTTTTTTTACATCTGATGACGTTTTCGATCATGACAATCAAATTAAAAATGGCCAAAAGTGCTTTGGCAGACATTTTTGTTGTCAAGAACGTATTGCAGGAGCTACAGGTTTATGCCGGCGAAACGATAAATGTGTGCCTGGAAACAACGGACACAATCAAAGTATATCTCCTCCAAGCATATGGCGTCAACATGGAAATGCAACACTCATTGTAGTAGTTATGCAGTTTCCCTCCCTTAAAGCAAATTTATCGTTATTTTCATCCATTGGAATAGGCTAAACACACAAAAACATCATAATACTAATTATCATAACACTAATTATCTTATTATGCTAATTGTATCATACCATAGCCAAATAGTCTTTCCACCATCTCCAGACTCGTTCGATAGCAATTATGATTAGCACGAGTGCTATCACGGTACCAACCAATCCCAAGAAGAGTTTGAATTCAAATTCAGAAGTTTCTTCATCCTTGTCTTAAAAGGAGAAGAATGTGACAATTTGATTGATGAAACATTATTTTATTCAAATCATGTGAAAAAGTCATGTGTGATAAGATAAAGAGTGACCCTGAAATCTTTTGACATGATCACAGATGTGACACCAAATGGCTAGGATATAGAAGATATATCATCTACAGCACCACAAATCTAAAGTATGAATGCTTGGCTGCAGATCTGAAATATGATGCTAAACCCCAGATCTTTAGTGGGGATGTTATTCCACATAATTTGGATATATCAACAAAGTTGAAATGGTAAATTGGCCACCATAACGATTAAAAAAGCTGACGTTTCGAGCTTTAGCCCTTCGTCTGAGCGAATAGAGGAATTGTGGCTTGTGTGTGCTTTTAAAGGCAGAAAGTAGAGCTACGTTATTGGTGGGAACATGGCAACGAGAAAAACACGAATAAATTAGTGGAATGAAAAGCGTTCGGTGATACCTGTGGGATTTAGACTGCCGGTTTGAAAGATGAGCTTTTGTTCAAGAGTTTTACGGCTTTCCGTGCTACCTAAGTGTAAGGAAAGACCGCAGATTGACATATGTTGCTTAGAATGATTAGGTAAATTAAAATGGCTAGCTACTGCTTTTGATGTGTCCCTGTCATTCCTTTCCACGTCGCGAAGGTGTTCCTGGAATCGGTCTCCTGGTCTTCTGCCTGTTTTGCTGATGTATACCTTTTTGCAATAAGTGCAAGTTATGCAATAGATTACATTGGCGGAGGTGCACGTGAAGTGATCGGTGATCTTAATGGGTCGTTTGGGTCCCGATATTTTCTCAGTGTTGTGAATTCTTTATCATTCTTAGACATCAAAGTTTCAATTGAAGGCAACGGTTTATACCCTAGTGTGTATTACAAACCTAGAGACTCGCATATTTTCTTGTTGTATTCGTCTTCGCATCCATCTCACGTTAAGA